CAATAAATATTCATGAGGCCACTTATCACGACATAAGAAAAGGAACTGGCATATTTCTTAAGTGATGAGCATAACCTTTTTGTTCATTATTTGGCATGGAGCGAGAATTTCTCGCCGGCTGCATACGAAGATTTATAACTTTTTTAAGATCTAGAGTAAAATCAAATGTACAGAAGCAATTAAATATCGTAGTCCTTGAAGGGGGTAAGTCACTGCTGATTATTCGCACTTTTGAACCTATGATCTTGAGTGCGGGAGCACCAATTTATTAGGTCAACTCTTTTTATTGAAACAAAAAAAACTTTATTCTTTGCTTTTTTAAAAATACACAATCATCTTTACAAGTTCCAACCGAGTTTGTTGCCGTAGCTGCTTAGGCCATGACCGTAGCGGAGTCCGTAAGTGTCCAGACAGTAGCCGTGCCCTTAGCGAAAAGTCGTTCAAAATCAGTACACTCGAAGTGTACTGAAGTATACTGAAAGTATACTTTCAGTGCGGTCTTTGTACTGATTGTATACTTTAAGTGTGCTTAAAATATACTTCCAATAAAAATGACGGTGGACTGAAAGTATACTCGTCCGTACAAAACTAGTACATGTAGTAGTATCGTAGTGCCCACGGTAAAAAGTAGCTCAAAATCAGCATACAAGAAGTGCACTCAAGTGTACTAAAGTCCTACTTTCAGTGCTTGCAGTCGGCGTGCTCAAATTATAGTAACGAGTATATATATATATATAGTGCGATTGTTAACATCAACAGATTAAAAACGCGATAGATAGGCCGATGCCGTTTTCACAGAATATTTGCGGGGCTCGGCGAACATTAGATGAGTAAATAAACGTCACAATACGTTGTCTAATTAACTTTTTTTTTAAAATTTGCAGTGTAATTGACCATGTTGAACTTTCAATTTTGAAGGGGCTATAAATAAACTCTAGCCCAACTGAAACAATTTGCGAAAAGGCGACGAGTTTTGGGGTATTCATAGCTAAAAGTCTGCCTTTCGTCGCGTGATTAAAAAACAGCGCGCTGGACAGAGTGCAGGATGTTATGCTTACGAAGTCGCTTCGGACGCACTGTTGGAGGTGTGATGCTAAAGCATCCACCAAAGGCACGCAGTCAAAAGTGTGCAAGTTTGTTCATGCGGAATGCGACAGCACTTTATGAGGGTTGTAACTTCACTAGGAAATTAAATAATGCATGGAACTCCAATATGAAAAGTTCTCGCTAACACAAACATGCCATCACCAACATGTCATGTCAAAACCGCTAAGTCATTCTCCACTTTCCCCGCCTATGCCGCGCGTGGTTCTCTAATTGCGGGAAGAAAGTGCAAAATTTGATAAATAACTATCTCAAAGCACCTTGCTGCTTCGTGAACAGTTTTGATTGGGTTAGGCTTTAGTAATGACTGCCTCTAAAACAGCAATAGTAAAAAAGGTAATTTACGGCTTTTAGTTAATTAATAAAAATGTTGCCGCGGTTATTCACCCATGTAATGTCCGCCGAGTCGCACGACACAGTGAAGACTGAATCAACGTGGCAGTGAGCCCCCTTTTTCTAAAAACCTGGTGATTAAAAAATAGCACTGGGTGTAGCCGACATATTGTGACAAAGGGATGCTTCATTTCTCATTTCAGTGCAGACCACGTGGTCAAAAGTTTCTCGGGGGAACGACCGGCACTGTCAGAGCATACTTACGTTACAAATGCAACATGAACTATACGCCTTCAAAAAAACACAAATAGAAAAATTAGCTGCATTGTACGCCACGGAAAGTAGCGTTACCTAACTTGTCAATAATTATTGTAGCTAGCCATTTATACTGTATTTATCAATTGAAAAGTATAATTTTAGTGCAAAAATAGCTTTTATTTTTCCTGAACTGTATTTGTTACCTTTATAGAAGAATAAAAGTTTACTGTAAAAAACTGTAAGCACTGTTCGGAGGCTATAGACGATCGCAATTGCACCAAGCGTTTGATGCTGCTGATGCAAAAGCATGCACATGTCTTTGTTTTCAAACTGCACCACCACTTGCGTGCTTCCTCATAGGCTAGTAGACAAATTACGTTTGCAGGATTATCCAGTGTTTTTGCAATGCAGGTCTCCGCGCACTATACGCTGTTTCAGATACCTGCATCCACAGCAAGCAAAAGGACAGGAGGCAAAGGAAACCACGGCTAATAATGGGGACGCAAGATGTTCTACCTTGCATAGTCACATCTAGTGCAAATCAACTCCTGAAGCGCGTAAGCGAAGTGGTGTTATGAATGGAAGCTCGCTCTAAATTGGCTGGAGAAATCGGCGCCTTCATGTAACAACCTCAAGCTTTCACCGAAAGTGTTTCATGGTGTAGATTTATCTTGCAAAACTCTAAGACATCTCAACTCACGTGAAAACAGATTGACAATTACAACAACGAACAACACCGTCGATCTAGAGGTCCACACTGTAAAAAATCGACGTTCAGTCTAACGGCAGTTCAAGCAATCACAGGTCATGCTAGTTCTGACGTGTGGTCCCAACAGTCTCTCACCAACGATTTGTTTCATAAAGCGGGAGCGAGAAAAACGTTACAAGAGTGAGCAGCATGATTTCTTGCCCGTGCTGATGCCTGTGCCGTAGAGACGGACGATCTCTTTGCGTATGCCGAAGCGGCGCGCTTTTCAAGTTTGCGATTGTGTGTTGTGAATAAAGTGAGTTTGGACGTCACGTTTTTAGCGGCGGCGAAAGCCGCTACAAAAAGTAGAGCAGTTAGAAAAAGCAAAAGCATGAAAAAAATGTTAAAAGGACCTTAATATTCGATGGAGTGGAAACACTACCATCGTACCAACTCGCCCAGTTATTCTTTTCCAAAGAATACAAGCCAATATTAATAAAAATAAATAAATGCCAACTTTTAATTGGTTAGAAATTTATAATTGATGCAGTACAGCCCTACCCTACTCTAGTGCTTTTATGATATCAGGTAATGTGTAAATATATAGGATAGTTCATAGCGACCATTTATGTCCAAACCATTATATTGAATCTTTTCTCTAAAAGCTCGAAGTTATATAAAAAAAAAGTGCTTATCATAAATTAAGCCGCACCGCTGAATGTGTAATAGCGTATGACTTGTATGTGTGTTCTCAGCAAAAGAAAATGAGGCATTAAAATAAGGCCAATCATTTTGTTTGCTCTCTGTTAGAGCTTCTTTCAGGTACACGCAAAATGTGGGTGTCTACATCTAAAAAAGTGTAATTGACATTCCCCGCAGGGCTGCAGGCCTGACTCAGTTGGGCTAGCAGGTTCCCACCTATGGGAACTTGCAGGGACCTGCATCACAAGAGTAAAAGTGACGTCCGCCCACTGATCTCTATTATAGGTGGCTGGATGATGCATAGAGCAGACAGGTATGAAGCCACCGTAAGTAAGCGGCCTGTCCCGATAGCGAGCGCTTGACAGGCTTTTCAACTCTCCCGAGTGCTGGTTCGAACAGCGTTCAGGGCGCTGGGTTTTTTCTTGTCATCCCAAGAGAGCCTGCTTGTTGCGGAGTAACAGTGCATCCGGACCCGAGAAGTCTCCTGGGAAGCCATTGGATGTGAACATTTTTAGATTCTATTTTATCAAAAAGTGTGTATGTCCCCTTATTCTTGGGATTTCATCCAGAACTAATTTCTGCAGCGCACTGGCACATGCAGAGAAGCGCACTGAACAAAGCAAATCTATCGCAATGGTGACTCTGCGAGCGCTTTGAAAGGTGTGAATGACATAAACGACTTTGTTTGCGCGAGCTCAATATCAGCCGGCCATCGTATGCGCGGTGGCTATAGAACCACACTACAGAAAAGCCATGCTCGTATCCCTCGTTCAATCGTTCATTAAAGTCCGTGAACGCCACTCTAAAGGCAGTGCACCAAAGATTCTTTCATTCTCATTCTCGTTTCCGGATCATCCTCATTTATTTGTGTCATTAACATCGAGGGTGCTGACGACCGGTCGGTGTTAGACATTGAAACCTTATCTGGACCAAGCTTCGCTTCGAGCTGTTTTACACGTTCTACACACGAACTCAAATGGACGACTGCCACATTTTCGATCAATGTCATCAAGTTCAAGTTCAAGTTTTCAAGTTTTATTCGCATCAAAGACGTTCGTCCGAACGTATTACGTGAGGGGGGGGGGGGATAGAAAAATACAAACGAATGCAAGATGCAATGGCAATCAAAGAACTAACTAAGGTTAAAAATTAACAACAAGCAAAAACAAAGAACGAACTATACAGAATTAGGAACAAAGTTTACACAAACCGGGCACAGCAGAACTGGGGACACAGTGCGCTCGACGTCGCTGGACAGATTTTGGTTGACAAAAGACGTTCAGGCAGTCGGCCAAAATGCTGGACTCACTCACAGCATTATGGACAACCACCCTTTCACCTTTTCTATCAGGAGTCTTGAGACCGACAACAGAACTCAGCCTGACGTAAATGCCGGGCTTGGGGATTTAGGATGTTATCGGACCATGTCTTTTCATTTAAATCGCCGGCATTGACCGTACTAATAATAGTCCGTTATACTTATCTTTTTAATTTATAAAATAGTAGTCAGTATATCTTCAAAAACATCTTCAGAAAAAAAACAAAAACGGTTGAACTCCAAAAGAGTAGATTAATGTATTAAACTTTCAGCGACGTGCATAAATCATGGCTACTTATCCTCAGTGTGAATCAAACGTTGAAATAAAAGACCTGGTTTCGCACGTGTCAATTACAAAGTAAGCCGTGTTTTTTTTAGTAAATAAATCACTTTATTAATCGATCTTTTTTAAATAAAACATAGTCTTTACAGATGGTAGCCGAGTCCGTAGCCGTAGGTGTTCAGGCCATGGCCGTAGCGAAGTCCGTAAGTGCCCAGACCGTAGCCGTATCCAAGGCCGTAGCCGTGAGCCGGGACCGCGTGGACAGCGGAGAACGCCGGGGCAGCATAGGCGGCGACCTTGGCGACTGCAGGTACAGTATGAACAGTGGCCACAGCCGGGGCCGTGTGGACGGAGGCGTAGCGGGCGACCGGGGTGGCCACGGGGTGCTGGCTGCGGTAGCTGCTCACGCTAGAGACGTGGGACACGGCTGCTCCGTGGTGGACGGCGGTGACGGCTGGGGCCGCGACTCTGGTGTACACTGGGGCGGCGTGGTAGGCTGCCACCGGGGCGCTGTAGCCGTACAAGGGACTGGCATAGCCTGCAAGGGCGCAGCTGACCAGAGCCACGAGAAGGCAGGCACGGAACTGGAAGGGAAGAAAAGTATTTTAATTTTGTTTTACGCCTAGATCAAGTGAATTCAGGCGAACCATAACGACGACGGAACATCTATTCTTAATACTTTGTCTTTGTAAAGATAATAATTGAGAAGTATTCTTCAACATTTTATGTTTGTTATATATATCAGTTTTCAGTTAACACATTTTAAATATTGAATATAAAGATATCTTTTCGCATAAAAATAAATTTGTGATTGTGTATTGAATTAGTTGTGGAGCACATCATTCTTAGCTGGGCAATCGTTATATGTACGAGTGATATCAATAAAATATATATTTTAAAGAATAATCTGTTCACTTTGTCAATTAAAAAAAAATCAAGTGAAGTTGGCACTTGCGGTAACCTTTGAGTTTAATGCTTTTAAGCAACAAACTAGGACTTACGGCGATCATGGTGGCTTGTAGTTGAGATGCGTCTGGGCAACTGGCAGTGAACAGCAGCAAATTTCAGTTATTTTTATACCTGTAATCTAGGTGGAATAAGGGAGGCGCACTAGGCGGGGTCTCTTTCGCGCTTAGGTGACAAACAAGCATAAACGTAGAAGGGGAAAATTTTACGTTGGTGAGTCACGTATTAAGCTCGCTTTGACTTCGGCCTTGCCGCATCCATGTTGTTATTTCCTTTAGTCAAGTACACTAACCTGAGGAATGTCGTTGGGAGATGAATTTTGCTAGTCTGTTGTCACTCATTGGGGCGTAGAGATTTACCAGGAACCTGCAGACGGGCACTGCCGTCCGATTGAAAAGAGCTGTAACTGCGGGAGTGGTCAACCAGAAGAAAGTACAAGTGTATACAACTGCCTGAACATTTACACGTCCTAATTAAAAAAAAAAAAAAAACAGAAAAACAACGCCGAAATTAGTGAAAGAAAAAATAGCATTTGTTACCATATTATCCAACGAACAACATATTGTGAAAACTACAAAGAAATAAGGAAAGTATTGTAATTTTATTTTTATTTATGTAAATATTACTGCCATCCGTCTTTGTTGGCTAAGGCATGGATGAGTATACGCCATCAGGGCAGATATTATACACATAAACGCAATACAAGTCGGACGCATTTTATTTTGCAGAGTAATAGTAAACATTATGGATTAGTAATCCGCTAATAAAAATGGTAATATAAAGTGATAGAAAAAACTAAATCATAAGTAGCAATGCCTGTAAAGCTATGAGGCGAATAATGATCCAATTTTGAAAAATTGCATTATAATTATAAAAAAGAAGGCCAATTTTACAATTTTCGAATATAATTTTAATGTTTCCATCATATATTACGGCTGTCATTGCACTTTAGAATAGATGATCGCCTAACGTCAAGGCAACCTTATCATGTATTGTTCAACAACTTCAAACGTTTACCTTTTCCGCGGTTCAATAACTGGGTTAATTTGGGCGAGTCATAAAGGCATATTACAGATGTACGTTTGCCCTATGCATTATAAATAAATTTAAGTGTCTTTTTCTGAACTTTTTCTATTCTGTTGATAACGACTTGAAATGCGAGTCACGTATACAGCCCCACATTCTAGTAAAGGACAAATAAAAAAGGCGTGCGTCACGAGCTTTTGTTTCTTTCCATTATTTTTAAAGAGATCATGTATTGTTTAGAAACACACGAAGAGGAAAGCTTGGATTTGAGTACGTCGAATGTGTAAATAAACAAGTAAAAAAGAAAAAAGAAAAAAAGAAAAGCTTCGCTTCTTGTCTTCATTAACGCATAGTCGTGTGCAGAGGCCACAATTTCGGGGTCGCAATCGCTAAAATATTAGTGAAGTGAACCTTTTATTATAGTTCGAAGTGAACCTCGAAGGACCTTTTAAGTATTCATTTCGTTACACAGATTTCTTAACATTCAAATTCATTTTTCATTCTCGAGATTAGGAAATGAGTATATGAAGGCTATCGCCCATTGTTTTCTGATGAATAAAATATAATAAACTGGAACACAAAACACAATCGTCAACAAAGAAATGACATTGTATCGTGGTCTCATTTACCAGTAGAAAATTATTAAATTAATAAAGAAGCAGAAGGTGGTACATCCGAAAGAATTGATAATTCAAGGGACTTTTATTTAGTAACACTAACATGCTGTTTGCGACTCATAAGGTAAGAATGACTTTACCTTAAAAGTCAATAATTGCTCAGTGCCTTCTGAAGCTCAGGTGAGAAACAAGCGCACACGTAGAAGGGGAAACGTTTACCTTATTTGATCTCGTACTGAGATCGCTTTTACGTCTTCATTGCCGCTTCCATGTTTTAATTTCTTGAATCAGATATACTAACCTGAGGAACGTTGCTGGGTGATGATTTTTGCCAGTCTGTTGAACTCATCGTGATGTAGACGGTTACTCTGAACCTGCCGACGGGCATCGCCGTCCGATGAAAAGTTCCGGTAACTGCGGGCTCAGTCAACCATAAGAATGTATAAGAGAATGTAAGTCCCCGAGGATTTACACGTTCTTACTTGAAAGAACAGAAAAGCAACGTGTTGTAGACCTGGAAAAGAGTAACGATAAAAAACGGACGAAGACATCAAAATCTCAAATGCAGCTGAAATTTATTGATTTGAGCAAACCAATAAATACACTCCCAGATAATGACAAGATCAATGATAGACTTCCAAATAATAAATAGACCAATAAATAGACAATACATAGTCTATTTATTGGTGTGCTCAAATCAATAAATTTCAGCTGCGTGTGAGATTTTGATGTCTTTGTCCGTTTTTTTTTTATTGTTCCCCATCTCAGGGTCTACAAGATGTCGATTATTTCCAGCTCGCTGCTCTCTTGACTGCTTAGAGAAACAACGCCAAAGTTGCGTGAAGAAAACAACAACAACAAAAAACAGGATCTGTTATTGCGATGATGTGATCAAAACGGCGACAAAAAGAGAAAGAAACTCGGAGGATACTAGAAAAAAAAAGAAAAGAAGAGTAGGTGTACGACGAGATTCAGGGCGGAGATTGGACGCGTTCGGAAAAGCTTGGCTCCAGAATACACCGACGAAGCTGTCGTCCACAGAAGATTACCGACCTGTCCTCACCGTCAACACTAAACGGCAGGCCTGGCTCAAGAACGCATCGGCAAAGCCATCACAACAACTGGTTGACTGATCACCACCGGTACGCTGGCAGCTGGAGCCAAACGAGACCGGCTTCTGCAACCGGGGAGGCGCCTAAACCAGCGTATTGGCGACGTGCGCGACCGGAAGCGTCGCTGTGGTCGGCCTTCCACGATTGGCCGAACACTGACTATGACGTCAGAAAAGGATTTATCATCGACGGAAATAAGAGGAATGAAAGAACTTTCATTTTGACGGTGTTGGCAGTGTTGCTTTGAGGGCGCGATGATTTCAAGCTTCCACCATGCTATTTACAAACACCATCGAACTTGTTGTTTGCAAGGTATTGACGTCACAAGGGGGAACCGTAGGAGGGCGCCACTAAAACATCTCGCCGCTAATACCAGTGCCAACTTCGGCAAGTTGAATTTTGGATGTACGCCATTATTTTTTTATTTCTTTTCTAATAAGTTTCCTTTTTTTTTTTTTGTCATGTGGATTCGGAAAGAAGAACAACTAGTCGCGAATACATTTTTTTATATTAAAAATCAGACGGACCTCTCAGTTTCCTTTCTTTGTTACCATAAAAAAACCTGACAGTTACATTATCATTCAATTAACAAGACAGTAGGAAATCAACGAAGCAACAAGACAAACCTAGTAATTTGATTTTTTTATTTTATTAATGTAAATAATACTGCCATTGGTCTTCGTCGGCCAAGGCATAAAGTACTGTACGGCATGATGGCAGACATTATACACAAATGCGCAATAAAGTTGTACAAAGTATTTTTGTAAGGAATATTAGTAGACATTAGGGTTAGTAATCCTGGAATAAGAATGCCAATGTAAACTTACAGCAAAAAAAAATCCTAAGTAGCAATGCCCCTTAAACTATGAGGCAAACCATTTCAATTTCGGACGCAGAAAAAAAAAAAAAAAGACACAAAATTTTGAATAGAGTTTTTATGTCTTGGCATTGTTTTACGGCTGCCTTTGAACTTCATACAATCGCGGAACGCTAAGCCAACTTGGTCGCCGTCTTTGAAATGCTTTCCTATTTGGCCACACCAGAACTGTCTGCGCCATTTAACCAAAATGTCATAAACTGGGGCGTTGTCCCCGAACAACGCTTCCAGATTGGTATGAATATTCTTGGCAGTGCTTCCCTTTAAATAATAATAAAAAAAAACCCTGCTTATTGCATGTGCTTGGCACCGACGGGCGGTGTCATTTTTGTTTCGACTCCCTAGGGGCGTTTTGAGCTACTATAGCATGCGACGTCTATACTGTGCGGAAACTAGAGGGACGCACGCTCATGTTGATGCCTAAATTGTTTTTTTTTTTTTTTTTAATTTTTTGTGCCGTTAATACGAATTGTATGAACGCCCCTCGTATATCAACACACGGAAACGTCAACCTGGACTAGATTTATTCGCGTTCGTAACGAAACAAGTAAAGAGAAAGCTTTGTCTTTGGCGTGCAATGAAGCGTAGTCCTGGGTAGAGTCCATACAGACCCTTTCTTCAAGGGCGCCGCCATCTTGAATTGTCGTAACTTCCAGTATGGGCGAAAACATTGTTTGGTCGTCGCCACGCCAGTAGCAGACACTTAGGATATAAGCGCAAATGTCACACATTATCGTTTTGCCTCCCACTTATTTTTTTACTAGTTAAAGGTTAAAACGTTTTAGTATTTTTTTCGTCGTCCATACCGGATACGCCTATTAGGTGGCTGGGGACGAGAGTACACAGAAAAGGTCTATATATTGGGGCACAATCACTATAACATTTTTGAAGTGAACAGGTCAACCTAAAATAAACGTAATAACAAACGAATACTGCTAAGAAGTGACTATTTCTAGATGTAGTGAATTGTTAGCAGAGCAAAACAAAAATAATGAAGATTTTTAAGTGTTGCTTTTTTTGCACACATCTCTTAACAATCAAATTATTTTTACACTCTGGAAACTAAGGAAAGAGTATATGAGCGCTATTGTCAACATTTTTTCTGATAAGTAAAGCATAATAAAGCGGAACACAAAACAGAATTGTCTGTAAAGAAATTGCATTATATCAAAGGCTCCCCGTAGAAATTTATCAAATGAATGAAGAAGCAGAGGCCCAAGCAGCGACGCCTGGGGTACCCCCCAATCAAACTGGTAATTCTAGGGACTTTCCATTAACAACAGTAACAACCTGTTTGCAATTCGGAAGGTAAAAGTCAGTCCACCGCAAAAGCCGAAAATTGCGCAGTGCACGAGACTTTCTCAAACGCATTCGCGAAATATAAAACATTTGCATCTACTTGGCCATCGTTACCCTATATTGTAGCGATTTAATGACTCGTGTGACTAAGTAGGATCACGGTTAAGTCTCCGCATGGGAACCCATTTCGGTTTTACCAAAATGCGTGGGGTACTAAGAAAGTTACACTGTCTATATAAGAAAAAGAATATTCGATAACCTAGCTACACGTACGAAATAATGAGAGAGGTGTATGGTTATAAGCATCCTTTTAACACCGCTCTTGTATATAGGTCATGCTTGTAAAATATGTATAAACACAGTTGCAAGTCAGTTTGTCTAGGAAAGGAGTCTCATGTCTGCGTTGTGGATTATCGACATGCTCAGTAAAGTACGACTGCCGATATGACATTTTAACGTTCATCGCTAACAAGTCAAAGTGCGAATTCATGTCGCCTGAAGCGTCCTGTTATAATAAAACCATCGAAAGTATTGAAATGAATGAGTTCAGGACGAGCTTTTGATCCAAGTATTGGGAAGCTGCGACACGTAAAACAAGTATTGTTATTTTCATTAATACTGCTAACTTCCTTTTGGAGGTTGTGACACGAAGGGTTAGTGCAATACATTGTAAAGGAGTTTCTACCAGAATAGACATACATAAATGATGGATATACACAGTACTAAGAAGCGCGAAGAGAAGAACGAAAATAACAGATTGGAAGAGCAACATTTGACAAAACGTAGGTCACAAATAACATTGCAATATATATATATATATATATATATATATATATATATATATATATATATATATATATATATGACTTAATACATATTTGTTATTAGGCGGTCTCATATTTTTCTCAGCTTCAGTTTGAAACCATTTTCACGGGTGTGGTATCATAGTTTTAAGAAATCTTTTCAAGTAAATCCGGCTTGTTGTCAAGCATATGCCTAGTGTTCGTTATAACTTGTAAGAGCCTTAGTCATTTATAGAAAATAGTTTTCAAGAAAACCGTCATTGAGGAGAATGTCTCCAAAAAATGAAGTCCTATAACTTTTGTTTCGAAGTTACCCGGCAGGAGTCATTTCTTCATTCATTTTCAATATTGACACATGTTGAATTAATTTGCGTGGGCTTTGTACCAGCCTTAATTTTTGTAATGGCTTCGTCAAAACTTCAAGGTCATACTGCTGCAAAACTTCAAGGTCGCACAGGTATACAGCTCTTGATCAGGGATCTTAGGTGAACTTTATCTTTCTCGATTTTTCAAAAGCTTTAAAAAAGTCTCACATAAATGTTTATTGCTTAAGCTAGGTAAACTTAACATTGATTTTGACATGTTTAAATGGTTTGTTCCATCCCTAACTAATCGCTCGCAATTTACAACGTGTAATGACGTTGACTCCTCCATCGCAATCATCTCTTTTGGTGTACATCAAGGGTCCGTTATAGGTCCCTTACGTTTCTAATTTATATGAACGACTAGGAGACCAATGTTTTTTTTTCAGTGAAACTCTTTTGTGTTTACTCACCTATTTACCGCGTTATATCCAGCGACTCTGACTAACAAAAACTGCAACATGATTTATATTCAAACTTTCAGTGGTGTGAACTCTGGTCAATGTAGCTTAATATTACCAAATGGAAAACAATGCGCATAACACGTAAAACTAAACTTTCCGCTACTTAGCCTTTATCACAAACCCTTAAAGCTCGTAGATTCGTACTCACATCTGTGTGTGACAATAATCGCCAATATACCCTTGCAGCTGCATGCTTACCTAACAAGGCGAATCGTAGGCTTTGTTATCTCGAGCGTAACTTCTTCCTTGTCATTAAAACTATTTTCTTCTAAAACGCTAGTGTGACTTAAACTCGAGCCTGGAGCCTCCATCTAGAATTTCTTTACCAACTATCTCACTGACTCACTTGAAGCCGTTTAGAACAGGTCCGCGCGTTTAATCCCAGTCAATTATAATCGCTCTGCAAGCGTTCAGCAATAAAATACTTTATTACTTTCAAGTCTCGCACATTGTCGCAGAAGTTATCGTTTTTGTATTTTTAATAAGATATATTATGATAATGCTCAACTCAGTGCACAGCTAATAATCTCACCATCGTTTGTTTCCGCACGTTCGGATAATCTTTACCATGTCGGTGTTCCGTTTTGTCACTTTAATTCATATTTTCGCGTCATTAATTCCTAGAACTCCCAATGATTGGAATCGCTTACCTGCGTCACTAACATCAATTGTTGACTACAGTCCTTTTTGTACTAATACGGCTAACTATGGTAGTTCCCTATTCTTTCTGATCTTTGTTGTTGTTATGTTGTTCCCGATTTACCTCTCTTTTTGTTGTTTTATTTGCTACCCCCCCTGTAGTGCCTCCTTGCCTTGAGGGTAAATTAAAAAAAAGGAATGAACATATTATATAAATCAGTGAATCAATTTATCAATCATAACTTCATTTTTATATATATATATAATTTGAATGCCAATTCAGAACGAACTCTGGCTCTCTAAAAATGTGCTCGGTAAATATTATTTTCGATTTTTTCGCTTGATGAAATGTAAATTCATTATGATGCAACAAATATCACCGACTTGACTTAACAAAATGGACAGTTTAATCATACGTTTGATCTCTCATGCAAGAGACATCCACAGTGAGTGCCAAGAGGGACACAAGTGAGAGCCAAGCAACCAAACCCTATTTCAGTAAATCCGCGTACACGTCAGGAAATGGGCCGCGGTTAACGTTGCAAGCCGTTTGGTCGCCTCGGATGCACCACGATTCCAAGAATTTCCGGGGACGCCACCTTTGTTCCCGTCCCAAGATCTCTGCGTTGTCAAAATCTAAACTGTGACCGGTGGTCAAACAATGGTCGACCAGTTCGATTTTTGGCCTGGTATCATGCGTCGCCCTTGCCGCGTCTCTTTTATGGTCTTTGAAGCGGGTGCTTCGCTTGCTGCCGGTTTCCCCGATGTACGATGCATCACAGTCTCGACAACTCAACTTGTAGATCACCCTGTTCTGAATTGAACGGTGTGGCGTACTTACTGAGGATGTCTCCCGCATGGGAGATGACACACTGGGGATCTTTCCCGCATAAGAAATGAAACGTCTGATTAAATTGTTATTTTTGCGTCGGTGCGTCGGTCAAACAAGTCGGTGTTATTTGTTTTATCATGTCCAGTCCCGGCAAACTGAACATTTTTGCGTTAATCCATTATTAGCACAATTTGATTTGTTAATAAACGTTTTATTGTGACCCCCATAAATCACTGCTACTTACTCTCATCACCGAAGCACATGTTGGAATTTAGAAGCTGGTCTGGGAAGGTGTTAATGCATAGTCACTATTTTTGTGAATGAAGAACTTTATTCATAGCTGGTTTATAAATAAATCATCGTGTTTACAGATGGTAACCAAGTCCGTAGCCGTAGGTGTTAAGGCCGTGGCCGTAGCGAAGTCCGTAAGTGCCCAGACCGTAGCCGTATCCGAGGTTGTAGCCGTGGGTCGGGAACGCGTGGACAGCAGAGAGCGCCGGAGCCGCGTAGGCGGCGACCTTGGCGACGGCCGGCACGGTGTGGACAGTGGCCACTGCTGGGGCCGTGTGGACGGAGGCGTAGCGGGCGACCGGGGTGGCCACGGGGTGCTGGCTGCGGTAGCTGCTCACGCTCGACACGTGGGACACGGCTGCTCCGTGGTGGACGGCGGTGACGGCTGGGGCCACGACTCTGCTGTACACGGGGGCGGCGTGGTAGGCTGCCACAGGGGCGCTGTAGCCGTACAGCGGACTGGCGTAGCCGGCAAAGGCGCAGCTGGCCAGAGCCAGGAGGAGGGAGGCACGGAACTGCAAAAAGAGAAATATGTATTATACGCGGGCCTATTAAATAAGACCACGAGGAAGGTATTGAAAGAACCTCTTTAAAATATTTGTTTTTCAGAATGCGACGTTTTGATGATGGTTAGAGCTGCGTTTTATTTACGCAGCGGACGGTGTATCAATTTGTAGTAAAAACGTTGGAGAAAATACTATGTGAAATCATTGTTTTGTATATAACTGCAGCACTATCATTAAAGTGTTGTGGTGAAGGCTTCGAGTAGTTTTATAGGCGTATCGTTTACGTCTAGCTGCCCATGTGTTTCAAATTGTTTTAAGAAAATATAGCAGAAAATTCTAATTCCTAAAAACGTGACGATTTCCCCTAGTTAAATGTAATAAAATAAACTTTGGTGAAATTAAGCTCAAGTAAAAAAAAGTTTCTTTCTGTACGACGAAAAAGCGACAAGCGAGGACTTACTGCAATCATGATGGCTTGTAGTTGAGCAGGTTCTGGGCAACTGGCACTGAACAGCAGCAAATTACCGCTCTTTTTCTACCTCGATGAAGGGTCGGACAGGTGAGACGGACAAGGCGGAGTCTCTTTCGCACCTAAGTCACAAACAAGCGGGCGTGTGGAAGGGAAAAATTCTAAGGTTTTGAGTCACGTACAAAGATCGCTTTAACGTTGGGATTTCTGCTTTCATGTTGATATTTCCTGAATCAAGTTGATTAACCCGAGCAGCGCCGTTATGAGAGGATTACCGCCAGCCTGTTGCCATTCATTGTGACGTTACGGGTTTGCCCTGAGCTTGTACAGACGCACTTCTCTTTGTAGTCAGGGTATTGAGAATTACGACAAAGTGCAAGGGAATGTGTATGTGATTACCCAATAATTTAAAGGTTCTGAGTTGAAAGAGCAGCAAAATAGTGCCAAAAGTGAGGAAAGATATGAACTACACCTTTTACCATATCATTAATTTAAATTGACAATATCCGATCTACAAATATTTGAAAAAGTCTGTATTTTTGTTTTTAATTATATAAATAATACTGGCCGACTAAAATTGCTGGCCAGGGCACTGAAAGTATTTAATATCAGGGCAGATTTTATCGACAAAGAAGCAATACAAATTAAATATATTTTATTTTCCAAGTAGCATTAGCAGACATTATGGTCGGTTACTTGCGAACAGAAACATTAATGAAAAGTTCTAGCAAAAGGGCCTCTGTAGCAGTGCATGTAAAGCTATAAAGCAAAACATTCCAGTCCGGGACAATCGTAAAAAGGAAAGTAATATTAAAATTTTTTTTTCTACATTGGAACTTACAAACATGTTATTCATGTTTCCGCATTGCTTCACTGCTGTCATTGCGTTTCAGGTAATCGTCGAACTTTGAGCCGGCATTATCGTGTATTGGATTACACTGAAACTAAAACGCCTCATTTTTTTGCGATGATAAAACTGGGGTAATTTGACTGAGTCATCAAAGTATAGTACAGAGGTTCCCCTCCGGTATATGCATTACAAATAATTCCAAGTGCCTTTATTAACGCCTTAGAATTTTTCAGTAAATGACTGGGAATGCGGGTCCCATAGCGCGTGCGTATATTTCAGTAAAGGAATATTAAAAGAAGTGTTCTCCACGAGCTACGTTTCTGGTCTAAAAGGAGGCATGGTCCTTCGTAAAGTCCACCTTTGTTTGGATGCAATCGCTATAGTATTCTGGGAGTGAACAATCAATCTTAGATTACACGCAGTTACAACTAATAAATACTTGCACTAAGTGATAATAAATGGAGGTAGTAAGTTGATCGCAATGCACACGCAAAAGTGGAGACTTTTTAAATGTTACTATCGTTTGCACACATTTCTTAACATTCAATTTCATGTTACACTTTCGATTTTATTGAAATGCCATATGAAGCCTGTCGCCTTAACTTTTTCTGATGAGTGGAAAATCATTGACTGCAAAACCAAACACCAATGAACAGCATAAAAGCGAAACTGTATCTTATGGTTAATGAATGAATGAATGAATGAATGAATGAATCAATCAATCAATCATAAATTTACCGAAGGTCATAGTACATTACACAATGCAGAGAACGGAATACCGATCCCTGGGGGACCCCTTAAAGTACAAGTAATTATGCTCCGTTTTAATCTAAATCTGATCCCAACGATGCTATGGTCCGGCAAACGCGGCACACCAACCAAAGAACGAGGGAAATCACGAAAGCTTTCGGCATGTCACGGTGGGAAAAGGGTGTATGTCAGTTCGCCGTCCGTTGCCTTGTTCGGCAGCGAGATTGCTTACATGTGTTTTTACGAAGGAAGAGTGTAATCACAATGATAAGATTGGCGGATTTTGTGTTTTGGTGGTTCGAGGGTTTCATGTTTCTTCTTAATAAAAATTTAGTGCTAAGTTGTAGCAAATAAAAGGAAAGCCGGCCACCCGAGAAAATAAAAGAGCAGAGCCCACGCGGGCCTCCAGAAGAGACGAGGGGTCTCACATGACGAGGTGGTGACCGGCAGGGCCGGGGGCGCGGGATCCCCGGAAGGAAAGAGGCGTCCGACACGGAGGGTGGCTGTAGTGTATCCCGTTCATTCAACGGTAAACAACATAGGGGTCAAGCGCTACGGGGACGCAACTTTGACAACACGGGCGCAATGGTGGACATGGGCGCCATCTAGGTAGTACATATAGAAACTGCGAAAAATTTAAATAGAACGTAAGTCAGCCGCTTGTCGTGTACATTCCTTTCACTCGTCCTTTTTCTAATTTTTGCACTTCGTTTGGTTGTAGAGCCAATCAGACAGCGCAAGATATGTGATGTCATGGTACTCGTCGTCTTTGCGCGTTCGCTATGACCGTCTCAGCCTATCCCGCAGAGCAATTGCCACCGGGACCCTTCTCTTTTTCCTGTGCCTGAATGGTTTAGGCGATGATGCAAAACGCACATAGAGGACGAGCACCGTGACGAGGCACTCTTGGCGGTGCTTGACTGGCTAGAGTGTTGTGGAGTTGCCACTCTGGAATTGATATGACTTTGGAATCATTCCGCACTTATGCGACCCCGGAATGGAATGGGAATGGCATTAGATGCCTTTTGCTCGGAATGAAGTGGGTATGATATGGGGCTGTATTCTTGTGCAAGGTGTGTTGATTTTTATTTAAGGCCTACGGGCTAATGGCACAATTCGTTAAGGCGTGGTAGGTGGCTCTTGAAACAGTATCATTGCACTGGAGGTGTATGACGGCTTGATTGTCTCACTGGCCCATGCTCCGTAGAGGATGAAGATGGCGCGCCTTCAGTGAAGCATCCAAAACTGAATAGCTGTAGAGGAGCAAGGTGTCCTTTCTGGCGCCGCGAGACGCGACAAAGCGACTGTTGTAATCTTGCGCGATTAGCATGTAGCCGCTACCCAGGGTGTCGAACGGAACCGAAAACCGGAGCAAAGCCGTTATTTCTATATCAACCGAAACCAGACTGTAAATCAAATGAAACATTTGATATTGAACCCAAACAGGAACGAAACCGTAATCTTATGTGGCGGTTACCGAATCACTGAAAATGGCTCGGCGTAATGAAATGGTTCCGCGGCTTATTGCGGGTGGCGGAGCGAATTCAATTAAACAATCACGACGGTTGCGTGAGTGGCTCAGTTTTGATTAAACAAACGTCAGCGTCGGCATGGAAACAGGTCAATAATAATGATACACAAGTATATTTCACGTATGTGCAGCACGAATTGGCGTCGGCAAGTCGGTGGGAGGACGTACACCTGTATGCCTGGTTTCACCTTACGATGAACCACAAAGGACGCCACGAGCCACCGGAGCCAATTCAAAACTCGGAGGGCGCCACGTGTCCCCCCAGTTGGGCGGAGAGACGCGGTGAGCACCAAGTCACGAGACAAGCTGCGAACTACAGATTGGCTTGCGCAGCTCGTAGCGTCCATCGCGGTACATCATAAGGTGAGAAACCGAGTATATCCGGTGGCATTGAGGCTAAATACAAATTCTTTGTGTATGTGTTCGCGCGCGGGTGTGTGTGTGTGTTCTTTTCTTGCTGCCAAGCGATATTCCCGAAGGAAGCAAAAAGCAAACATAAACGTGAAAATCAAAACAAAAAGTTGACGGCTGTCGGTGCGTTTGTTCCGCGGTGGCAAAATCTGTAGGCGCGAAGATGCGAAGCCGCGACGAGCGAGAGACTGCGGTGCCGGTGGCCGGGACGCCAGTAGCCCAGAGGCCTGGACGCTGTGTGAAGTAATTTTGTGTCTGTGTGTGCGTGCTTCCTCGAAACAGCAAGTCTCCCGTTGTATTTTTTGTCATTTTTAATGCGGGAACATTAAGTGTCCCATGGAGCGAACCGGCGTTATTAGCTTTTGAAGCCGGTCCAAACGGCACCTAAATTTCCCAGTCCCATTGAGCGAAGTCTGTAGTCTGTCAGGGAATTGATGGAAAACTCCCATTGGCTGGCGCGCGGCATAGTTCCATGGAACGCCACCCCACAGAGAAGCCCTCTTCATGACGCAGCGGCCCGGCCGCCGGTAAGAGGGAGTGGGTGGCCGGGTTCTGCAGAGGGGCCGTGGTGGCCGGCCGCAGAGCTCGCCCGGGCAGCTTACGCAGAGGTCGCTCGACAGGGCTCAGCGCGGCACACAGTTTATAGGAATACGATGCGTATACGAATGCTTTCGTATTCCTACACGTTATCTGTTTTAGTAGCCTTTCGATGGGCCTTCGCTGTTTTTCTCCTCTTCAACTCAGTTGTTCGAAAAAGTCATCCGGACGCGCGGTGTGGGTAGTTTGCCGTTTCGAGCTGGATGAGCATCGTAGCGGCGTGAGGTCGTGCATCAGTACTGCGTGATAAGAGTTAAAAACTCCATGCTAGTAGTCGTACTTCACTGGACAAATGTTTCATCTGCAGTGGGTAACAATGGCACCATATACTCTTGCAAACTAAACTCCTCCTTAACAACTAAGAACTAATTCGTTTTCTTTTTGTGGTTAATTTGTAAGTA